TTGGACTCCTCAATGTTGGAAGGGAAACTATCTGCTATCAAGGAGATAATTTATATTAAATAAAAATTCAAGTTAAGATTAAGCATAAATGTTAATCAGCTTGGAATGGAAAGCAGCTCTTAATACTGCACAAAACCCAGAGACTTCCTAGGAACATTGGAACAAGAACATAGGCTGTGTCAGAGCTGTTTGAGTATTGTTATTGTTAGCTCATCTTCATTTAGCCTGTTTTAGTTCAAGACAGCACAAGCATAATCCTATGCCAGAACAAAGGCTGCTGATCTGAAAGATGAGAAAGCTTATTCAGTCTTAGGCTTTAAAATTGTTATGCCAAATTATAGTCTCTACTCCTTTTTATAGACTGGGAATTGATGAAAAATAAAAACTCAAAACCCAAGTAATCAAAGAAACAAAATTTAAACAGATAACTCAAACCTAAAGTGGCCTAGAGACTTCTTAAGTCTGTATCTCAACTTCTTTTTCGCCAGTTCTGTTAAAGTGGGACCTCAAATGTTTGGAATATATTCATTCCACAAGCATTAAAATAAAAAGAATGACATTCTGTTTATTGAAAGGGAAACCAACCACGATGCGCTAGCAGGAGGTGGGACACAGCGAATAAGACAGTTGCAGTGCAAACTATGTTTAAACAAGAGCCCTCTCCCAATCTCTGAAGTATTCTGAAAGGTAAAAGTAAATGTAATTTGAGGATGTTTTAGGACCGCGATTGTAATATGGATTAATGTACTTATGATGTCTGTATTTATCTAACTGGATTAAATGGCTTCCTTTATTCCTCCCCTGGATTTTTCTAGGCATGAGGATTTGTCAGTACTTGCAACGAATGTGCCAAGCTTTATGGCGGTTGCATTTCCTTACTAAAGACCAACAAATTGGCACTCTGACTTGTGAATCAATCTCATTTGTAGGGCTGAGTACTATGATTATGTCTCTCAGGTATTTTGATCATGCTAGAAAAGTTTTTCTCATCAGTACTTGAATCGTACTACATAGGTGTTCACATGGCTAGAAACCCAGATGACATTGAGGTAAGGGGTAAAAGCAGCTGTAAGGCGTTTGTATTTTATATATGACACATATATTGCATATATATATATGATGCATATTTATGTATACTAAATGTATATATTTATTTGTAGAAAAATGGTTTGCATTATGATTAACTACCTGTTGTACAAATGGTTTTAGGACACAGTAGTGGAGTACTTGTATTACATTCTGAACTTAATGTCAATTTTTATTTTGGTACGTAGCTTTGTTGTTGTTGTTGTTGTTTTTTTTGAGACAGGGTTTCTCTGTGTAGCTTTGGAGCCTGTCCTGGAACGCACCCTGTAGACTAGGCTGTCCTTGAACTCACAGAGACCTGACTAACTTTACCTCCTGAGTGCTTGGATTAAAGGTATGTGCTACTACTACCCAATACTTAGCTTTTGATTGTAATAATCAACAGATTTAATGAAGGCAGGCTAATAAAAAGTAGTATGATCAAGCAAATACTTCTTAAATGCTACTTTATTCCCAGAATTCACTCTGAAGCATACAGTTGCTGCCATGAACTGCTAGTGGCATGCCTGGAACTAGATTACACCAAAGGACTTTGCCCTTTGTTGTATAGAGAGTAGGAAGCAATTAGCGCTACACTTTTCTACATGCATTCAGTTGTGTAATGGATTTCTATTTCTGAATTGAATGCACTTTAAGCAAAACCTTTTGAATGTTAACTTGAATTCTAAAGTTGCTTTCATTTTTGTCATTGAACCATATTTGGAAAAATACCCCTATCATTCATTATCTTAGGGCATTTTGTATACAAAGAAACCAAGATATGCTGATATTTGGTAACTTGTTAGAAAGAAAGCACCTGGTTGAAAGCCAAAGTCAAAGCTAGGATGAACTTTCAGTTCTCTGGTCTATATTTCTCCCTATTGGGATTTGACATGGGAGTTTGGAGTAGTTACTGGGACTCTGCAAAGAACTTATGAATTCAAGCTGGAAGAGACTTTGAGGCAGACATCCCCAATGTTTGTTTATGTTAGAGTATTTAATGGTCATTTTTGTGTTCATGATGTGTATGAGACAATATGCTAGTTATTGATGGGTGGAAGAGTTAAAAATAAACTTGTCTGAGCCGGGTGTTTGTGGTACATGTTTTTAATCCCAGCACTCAGGAGGCAGAGACAGGTGGATCTCTGTGAGTTCGAGGCCAGCCTGGTCTACAGAGATAGTTCTAGGACAGGCTTCAAAGCAATACAGTGAAATCCTGTCTCAAAAAACCAAATACTACTACTACTACTATTACTACTACTACGACTACTACTACTACTATTTAAAAATAAAAACCTGTTTGAGAAAGAGAGAGAGGAAAGAAAGGTGTATTTGAGGGGTTAGAAGGAGGAAAGGGAAAATTATGTAATTGAATTTAAATTTCTAACTAAATAAATAACCCAGTCAGTTCATTGTAGCCAGGTTAAGATTCTTGGTGCATCCTGTAGGTATTAATCTTACCCCTGATGCTATTTCTGGTACAGGAATTCAGACACTGCAGTATTTTTGCCATTTACCACAGGCATAGTCCTAAGTTTTATGTCCTTTCTAAAGCCTTCTTCAGGCAGTCTATATTTTACCTCCATACTTACTGGTTTAATTATCTCACAATGTTACACCCTTTGTGTTTTATGGTCATAGCAGCATTGTAATTTCCCCTAAGCATAGGGGCTGTGTCTTACCTACTTTTGATATAGGACTTTGTTTGTATTGAGCTTGAACAATATTTGCTTTATTGGATTATAATAAATTTGAGATATTTTGATAGAAACATAAGAAATAGTAAAATAGAAAAAGGTAAGCTAGAAATGTGGCTCAGTGGTAGAGTAGTTGCTAAGCATGTTCAGAAGCCTGGGTTCAATTCTCAGCATTGTCCCTCACCCCAAAATACAAAAGTAGAAGTCCATAGAGAGCTATACTATTGACAAATTATTACAGTTATCATTCATGGCATCAAGGCCCCAAAGCTTGACATGTCCCTTGAGTATGCCTTTAATCACAACACTCGGGAGGCAGAGGCAGGTGGATCTCTATGAGTTCAAGGCCAGCCCAGTCTACACAGTGAGTACCAGGACTGGCTCCAAAACCACACAGAGAAACCCTATCTCAAAAAAAAAAAAAAAAATTGCCATTTGTAATTCTGTGGGTTGTAGAAGAATCTTTCTTCTTAGATAGTTTATAAATACATCAAAAGTTTGATTAAAGCTAGGAGGGAACAGGTAATAGGAAGTGAAAATGGGTAACAGTAAATTAGGAAGATATTGCTATGGTTCAGCTTTTCCTCCTCAGTCTTTGAACTTTTAGGTTGCGATTGATTAGATTATGGCTTAGATTTTTTTTTGGTAGGGCCTAAATAACCAGCATACTAAGAATTTGCAGAGAATGGGAAACAGTATTTTTAATAGAGATAAATGTAAATATATATTTAATTTGGCTTACTTCCTATGTAGGCACAGGTAGCTTTTAGTCACAATGGATTATTAATTATAAAATAATGACAGGAAATAATTTTTCAGTGACTTAAACTTGATTGCACAGATATTATGAACTTAAAATTGTGTAGGCCCAAATTTTAGCTAAAATGTACTATGGTCATGGTACTTTATAAAACATTATAAAATGCTTGCTACCATTCTTAAACCACTCTACAAACACATCTAAGTTAGTTGTCCTCTAAATATATGGTAGCTTGGCCTCCTTGATTTCAAAACAATTGTAGTGTCGGGGATTTAGATTCACTGGATTTAAAGAGCTGTTGCCTGCCAGCCTATGTGGATATCACTGACACTTCTAAGAAAAAAAAAGTGCTCTTGCCCCACTGTTTGATTAAATTGTGTGATATCTTAGCTCTGTGTTAACCTAGTGAGTTTTATTCTAAGTTACAAAGTAGATCATGGACCCCCAGACTGATAGCTGGGAATCCAGCATTATACCAACTCAGACCTCCTGAACATGGGTCTCAGCTAGAAGGCCTGGGCAGTCTAAGGGACCTCGGACAGTGGAACCAGGATGTATCCCTGGTGCACAAAAGGACCTTGGGAGCACATTTCCCATGGAGGGATACTCCCTTAATCTAGAGGCAAGAGGGAAGGCCTAGTCCCTACTCCAAATGATTTGACAGATGCTGATGATCCCTCCTGGAAGGCATCACCCTCCCTGTGTAGTCAGGAGGGTTGCCATGGAAGGGGGTGGAAGGGAATGGGAGGGAGGGAGAGGGAACTGGGATCGATATGTAAAATAAGGAAAAATAGTAAATATATATTTAAGAAAACAAAGTAGATCATAAACATTTCTTCTATTTATCTGCAGCTGAGAGGGCTTTCTTTTTGTAGTCTTTAGTCAACTTGCCAATTTCTAGCAGGGAAGTCTGCTTCAAAGAAATTTCTTAACCTGTTTGAGTTTCTTTTTTCACTTCTCAAAGCCGGGGGAGGGAAGACTGAGAGCCAGAGTGAGTCTGAAGATGTGGGAGAGGGAGAAACATCGTGCCTCAGTTATAGGATGCTGAGAAGTTGAAACATGTGAAATTTCCTTGGGAAAAGTCTAGGTCAGCCTTCAACTGTTTGGTTTACCTGCAGCAGTCACTATACACTTTCGTTCCACATTAAAGGCAGCTACCACTGCACTAGAGAAGCTCCACTGCCACCTTAAGATGGGAACTTAAGGCCCATTTTGCACTTCTGACTGAACCATAAAGGTGCTGGAGTCTTGGGGTGTGTTGCCTTGACTGTTTGCCATATTGCTGCAGTAGCAGAGGCAGTGAGCGACACTTGCTGACAGGCTGATTCGATGATCAGATCTCTGGCCAAGAACCAAATGCAGAACTAATTCAGAGTGGCAGCCTAATATAAAGCAGATAAGGCAGAGCAGTTACCCCCAAACTCTGAGCTGTTAGGTAAAATCAGTTGAACTTTACTCCATACATCCAGTTTCCTTACCTGCTGATTCCAAGCGTCAGAGTTGGAGGTCCGAGATTTCTCCCTGAAGTTAGAGGCAAATCTTCAGAAAAATCCACCCTGTCAGTTCCCTGGAGAGCTAACCCTGGATAGTGAGCTGCAGAAGAAATCTGGAGACTCTGGATGGTCCACTCCATTCACAGGGCGCCTGCACTTCAGGAAAGTTTCTTTCAAGAGGAGAGAGGTCAGGGCATGGCACATTTGCTAGCCAATATATACCGATTCTTCTTCCTCTTTCTGATTAGTCCTCAAACTGCTTAAACCACGCCACAGTTTAGCTTTCCTGGTGCAGAGTGGGGGAAGGGAAGGAACAGAGAGGGAGGAAGAATGGAAACTGGAGACTTGCAGGTTATATGTATAAAAATGAGTGTTTATCTCTAGCTACTGCAATAGAATTCCCAGGAAGTCATGCAGCTGCTCTGAGGTGGGAAGTAAGGAGTGTGTGCTGTTCAGCTTAGTTCTCTCTGATTTTTATGACTGGAGGGTGGTTATGCTATTTGTGGGCGGGAAAAGATAATCCTAGCAGTATATGCTAATATAACTGGCATTATGTGAAACTCGATCTTTAGATAAGACACATTTCCTCTCTCCCTTTTCTTTCTGTTTCTCACCCTCCCTCCCACTTTCCCTCCCTCCCTTCCTCCCTCCAGCCCCCTCTCTGTGTTTCTTTCCAGCATGACAGTTGTGATTCTATAAAAATTTTTAAAAGCCCGTTTATTTTTAGTGCCTTATGTCCTAAGAGAAAAAGGACATGCTAAACTTGTGTGTGCTTATTAGGCAGATGCTGAAGCAAGATTTTGATGTTGAAAACAAATTGATAAAGACTAAGAAGTAAACCAGGTAAATGAACTACTTTGAATTTCACTATGAAAGACCTGAGTTGGGATAGACATACATATCAACACTTTGTAAACATAGCCTCCTAATTGTAGTTTGAAGGATTTGTAAATGTCTGGATAGTAGTCATAGCATAACATAACATAACATTACATAATATAACAACATAACATGACAGTCCCACAATGGCTTTCTGGGCTAATGTTATGGGCCACAAGAAAAACAAAACAAAACAAAACTATCATTCAAATTTTGTCTCTTTAGGAAGCAGAGTGACTTTAATAGTCACTTTTCATCCTCTTCCACACAATCTTTAGATGTGGAGGTAATGATGGTGTTTGGGAGAAAAGGTCATTCAAGTACATTTAAAAGAAAAGATAATATTTGAACTCAAGACCAGACTCTAATCCTATTCTCAGGAAGATTACTAACTGATATTTTACTTAGCATTTCTTTAATGTAATTGGGCTCCCCAGACATTCATAAGTAAGTTTGTAAGAGACATAAAATATGGATTTTTTACTATTTCTGTAGTGTGAGTTGTTTACAAGCATCTTGACATTTGGTAGAAGAGGAATTTATATTTGGTATCAAAGAAAAGAGCTGTAAGATAGCACCATTGTAGATGTGGCGGTGAGGGGGTGCTCCCCTACTTGTTTACTTCTTTAGTTGGGTCTCTGTTTCTGAGTGATGGGAAGAACGGTGTTACCCTCAGCCCCATGGGGCATTACATAACGGCTCGACTCCTACCATGTTCTCTATAGTTAACTGTATTCCATTTCTCCTTTCGTACCCTCACAATTGTTTTCTTTCTTCTCCATCCAGTTTCCTCACTTCTTTCTCCCTACATTGTTTGAAATGGGGATTTGGGTAAATGGAGTTCTGCCTTAAAACAAAATAGTAGAGAAGTAAGACCAAGTAAGGAGTGCCGAGGAAAATAGGGACTCACATATGTGTTATATGGGGAATCTGTTAATAAAGCTCCACTTGGGTAGAAGGTTAAGTGGTTTTTCAGTCATGTGGTATTCACCCAATAACTGTAAGCCACCAGATTTTCTATGGAGATTTTCCAAATTCAGAGCTGGGAGGGCCCTTAACATGCTCTTGTTTAGATTTTATATTAATTTTAATCCAAACAGACATGGCATACCTGTTTTATTATTGCTTTCTCCAGGTGTTAGCTTATTGCTTTGTTTGGTTTGTTTAATAAATAATACATTTCAGCTTTTTCTGTTGCAGATAAGAAAATAGGCCAAAGGAAAAGTGGCTCTCACAAAACGTCCCCCATAGGATCACTTTTTAAAATCTTATTTTTTATTGTAATAAAGTTACTTTCATACAATATATTATGATGGGAGTTCCTCCTCCCCCAACTCCTTCCAGATCTTCTACAACCCCTTGTGATTCTAAATCTATTCCTTCTTTCTCCTTATCTTAAGAAAACACACAGATATATTAAAAAACAAACAAACAAGGATAGAAAAAGAGAACTGAACAAGCTAACAAAAAAGATAAAAGAAACAGAGAAAGAACATGAGAAATGCATATACACACATACTATGAAGAAAATAAAAGATGTCTATACACATTCTCTGCAGTCCCTCACAATTTAGTTTGCCCTCCTAGTTGCTTGTCTGTGACATTATCAACAGATTCCCTAACACACACACACACACACACACACACACACACACACACACACACGGTAGGAAGGCATGATGCATCTATGGTTTTTGTTTACAGAAAATGGGAAAAATCAGTCTGGCTTTTGAAACACAGTCTCCACCAATTAATTTGTTCTTTCTGCTCCAGTACCTAGTCTGTAAGTACAAAGTAGTGCTAAGATGTTATTTCTAATGAGTTAATTTTGGAGACTGTGACTGCATTAGAGTATGTGAAATTGAAAATCATGGAGATCAGAATAGCATAGACCACTTAGTTCAGATAATGCTGATCATCCAAGCTAATTCTCCACACATTTTTATATTCTATTCAATGTGATAGCTGCTAGCCACATGCAGTTATTTAAAATTGAATTTAAATTAATAAAACATAAAAACCTATCATTTATTCCCCACCCCAGCTACAATTCATGTTCTCAGTAGCATAGCCACATGTGGATGTGAGTACTGTTTCTTGAAACAGTAATTTAGAATAAGTATTATAACTAATACCTGGTTTGTGGTAGATGTCACTAGTATGATGTCATATATAAAGAATTGGCCAACTTTTCCAAAGAACACAGATATTCTTCTTTCGGTCAAGTGTAAACAATTTTATTTTAACTCACTGTGTATCTATTTCTATCTTAGTCCATATCTGTGAGCACTACTCTGGGTGGAGTTTGTGTGGGCTTTGAAGGGTTTGGTTTGGTGTGGGGAGGAGGAAGGTATTTGGCTAGTATGATGATGGAAGTCCTCTGTATAGTTCTTTTTCTTCTCTGATAGGCCCAAAGGAAGACATACACATTGTACTACAAAGAAAAAAGTTATGCAAAATAGAAGCTGTATTAATTATAATCTCTCTAATTTTACCTTCCCTTACACAATGCTTTGGACTTGTGTCTAGCTGGTGATCAGTGGGGACACAGAAATGAGTTGATTTGGTGGGTCATTTTGGTATCTAAGTCTGTTGGGTGTGTGTGGTCAGGAAACTTGCAAATAACCACCAGATTAGGAACCAGGGTGTCTTAGTTAGGGCTACTGTTGCTGTGATGAAACATAACGAACAAAAGCATTGGGGAAGAAAGAGGTTATTTCATTCACAGTCCCACATCATCAAAAACAGTGAGGGCAGGTATTTAAACAGAGTGGAAACCTGGAGGTAGGAGCTGATGCAGAGGCCGTGGAGAATGCTGCTTACTGGCTTGCTCTTCTTGGATTTCTCAGCTTGTTTTCTTATAGAACCCAGGACCTCCAGCCCAGGAACTGCACCACCCACAATGGGCTAGCCTCCCCCACCAATCACTAATTAAGAAAGTGCCCCTGTAGGCTTGCGTACACCCCAATCTTAAAGAGACATTTTCTCATTTGAGGGTCCCTCATTTCATGTAACTCTAGCTTTGTGTCAAGTTGACCTAAAACTAGTTAACACACAGGGCCAGTTTGGACTAGTTTACATCTTAGCTTTTGCTGCAAGGGGTGACTGTAGAGCTGGAATTAGCCAAAGACTGTGAAATGACTGGGGGCTTTTCTTTAACTAGAGGGATTATCTGCTTGATAACCATTTAAATGTTTGTTAAGTTTGGATTTCTTTTTTGAGGAAAATGAAAGGAGAAAAAAGATAAATCATCCTGCTACAAATTCCTATTGAGAGTTATTTTAGGAGAGTCCAAGTCTGTAACTCCTCAAATCTCTTGATATCCAAAATGACTTGACATTATTTAGGTATTCTTTTTATATGTGCTTCATGGCAAAAGTCCTTTCATAGATACCTTTAAATTATCATCCACTGAATAGAAGAAGCAGGACTGAATTTCACAGGCAATGCCACCCACTCTAGATAGGGGCATTGTATGTAAAAATCAGGCTTTGGATTATGCAATGATGGGCTGGGTGAACTGACAAGTTTATCTTCCTGGGAAGGTGGGCTCATCAAGGGGTTGTAGAGAGGGAATATTGAAATTTCAAAGTATGTTTCCCACAGTGACTCAGAAGCTAGGTTTAGGAGACACAGAACTTGGATCTGGGTTTGACTTTCCCTATAAGTCATGAATTTGTGGTCATGTAGATTCCATTCGTGTAGAATGCTGGTGGTACACAGAACCATGGAAGAAACTATAATGCAAATAGCTATAATGTTACCTTGTCTGATTGCAGACTAAATTTAGCTCAATGTTCTTATATGGCAGATAAAGAAATGGAGTCCATGCGTTCCCAAAACGAGTTTTGTTATCCTTGGATAAGCTATCCTGTCAATGTGAGTCTTAGTGTTCTTATTAGAATTAATGATGCTACCACCAGTTATCCTACTTCCCAGAATTTAAAATTCAACCAAGGAAGGTATGGAGTTGGTAGAGTGCTTACCTCACATGCTTGAAGCCCTAAGTTTGATCCTCAGCATTACATGTGAGGGTGTGGGCAGGTATCTGTAATGTCAACACTAAGGAGGCAGAGGCAGAGGCAGAGAGGCAGAGGCAGAGAAGCAGAGGCAGAGGCAGAGAGGCAGAGGTAGAGGCAGAGGCAACATAGCAAGTTTGTGGCCAACCTGGACTACTGTTTCTGTCTGTCTGTCTGTCTGTCTGTCTGTCTGTCTGTCTGTCTGTCTGTCTGTCTGTCTTGTCTGTCTGTCTGTCTGTCTGTCTGTCTGTCTCCCCCAAAGCAAATAAGAGCCCAGAAAGTACAGTACAGATACATTTTCTTAATTTAAAAAATGTTCATTGTCTTCTTACGAAGTGTCTTCTTTCACTCCAAATGTTGCATGGCTTGTTATAAGGTTTTGAATCATGGGATCATGGAGAACATTACACGACAGTGTAATGGGACCTAGAAACTACTTTATCACTGGAACTGTGTTTACCACAATGTCAGCATCTGCCAGGTGTATTTGTATATTCTCTGTCTTTCTCTGTCTCTGTTCTCTTTTTCTTGAAACTGTAGCTTAAGGACTAATGATGCACAATTTGTAAAAACTAGCGTATAAAGGTGAAATAAAGCCATTCATTTGAGTCAAAGCTGGAGTAAAGATCAAGTTTTATTTTATTTTTTTGTTTACCTAGGACATAATAAATACTTAAATGGTATGATTATCACTTTTCC